TGTATTTCAGCGTGTTTCAGTGAGTTTCAGCGTATTTCAGCCTGTTTCAGTGTGTTTAGTGTTTCAGTGTTTTTCACACCGTTTTTGTGTATTTCAGCGTGTTTCAGAGCGTTTCAGCGTATTTCAGCCTGTTTCAGTGTGTTTAGTGTGTTTCAGTGTTTTTCACACCGTTTTTGTGTATTTCAGCGTGTTTCAGAGCGTTTCATCGTATTTCAGCGCGTGTCAGCGTATTTCAGCCTGTTTCAGTGTGTTTAGTGTGTTTCAGCGTTTTTCACACCGTTTTTGTGTATTTCAGCGTGTTTCAGAGCGTTTCATCGTATTTCAGCGCGTGTCAGCGTATTTCAGCGCGTTTCAGCCTGTTTCAGCGTTTTTCACACCGTTTTTGTGTATTTCAGCGTGTTTCAGAGCGTTTCATCGTATTTCAGAGCGTTTCATCGTATTTCAGCGCGTTTCAGCCTGTTTCAGTGTGTTTAGTGTGTTTCAGTGTTTTTCACACCGTTTTTGTGTATTTCAGCGTGTTTCAGAGCGTTTCATCGTATTTCAGAGCGTTTCAGCGTATTTCAGCGCGTTTCAGCCTGTTTCAGTGTTTTTCACACCGTTTTTTGTGTATTTCAGCGTGTTTCAGAGCGTTTCAGCGCGTTTCAGCCTATTTTAGTGTGTTTAGTGTGTTTCAGTGTTTTTCACACTGTTTTTGTGTATTTCAGCGTGTTTCAGTGCGTTTCATCGTATTTCAGAGCGTTTCAGCGTATTTCAGCGTGTTTCAGCGCGTTTCATCGTATTTCAGCATGTTTCAGCGCATTTCAGCGTGTTTCAGTGCGTTTCAGTGTTGTTAGTGTGTTTTAGCGCATTTCTGCTCGTTTCAGTGTATTTCAGCACGTTTCAGCGCGTTCCAGTGAAGAATCCAGAAGTGAAATGTAACAAAACTTCTTAATAAAAAAAAAAAGGTTTCGAGAGGAATTCTGCTATTTCCTTAGAAACAACGAAACTTGTAAAACCCAAAATAAAGAAAAAACAATTGTGAAAAAAAAAATTGTTTGAAAACATAAAAATAAGCAAAAAGATATATATAAAAACTAGTGGGACAAAATTAGCTCCATATTGATGGCCATCCTGCAGCCTAATTTCCGTGTTTATTGTTTCTCATGCAGTGATACCAAAGAAGCGTTGCCATGGCAACTAATGGATGCGATCAGGGTTATTCTCCCTAAATCAAACCATCGATTGACTTGATTATAGCGACACTCTAATCCTTTGATGACGAATCAGAGCAGTTCTGCTAATGTTACAACATCACAGGTGAAATGGTTGATCGATCATAATCATAAGCCAACGTACCATTATTGCGCAGAAGTGTGGCCAAGCTGTGCACCAGGGAGGACTGACCTGGATGAGCCACAGCCATCCTGAAACACATCCAAACAAAATGATCACGACTACAACTCCCAGAACAACCACAACAAACCTGCTGTTTATCGATTTCATAAAGTGCGGCTAACAGTCATGCTAGCAGAGCTAGCTCTGTTTCTCTCCGGCCTTAAATCTTTAAATAATTCAGACTTCTTCCAGTGCTGCTAACACTGGTAGCTTCTTGGCTCTCTGCGTCCCGGAACATAAGCTAAACAGCTTACCTGCGCAGTGACAGCTGGGAAACAAAAAGCTAACATCCGGTTCTCACGCCGTAGAGTGGATAATAATTCATTTTATTTTAATTAAACACCAGAAAAGGCCTGGAAACAAAGGTTTATTTCCCCCTGTTTCACAGCACAGAGCTGAGTGTTGTTGACATTTTGTTTTTCCCGTCACATGACGCGGTGTCTGCCACAGCTTCTACGGTGGCCCCAATGGAACAAAAAGCTTCTTCCTCTTTTCTGTTTTATTGGCAGATGGCAACCAACTTAAGGTGCATTTACCGCCACCTACCAGACTGGAGTGTGATCGTCAATGATGTCAAAGGGAATCTAATAATACATACCTCAAAATAATAATAAATTACACAATCATACACACTCACATATAAATTTGTATGTGTGTATATTCACACGTATACACACACTTATATACATACTTTTAATGTGAATAAATGTGATTAAATAATCCAGTGTTTTTAAAAAATCTTTGAAAATTGTTCCTGTGAATACTTATTACATTCTAATAATAAATGTTCCACTGTTTTGATCTGACTACAGTGATTACAAGTCCCTGTTTCATGTTTCCCTATCCTGAAAAGAGAACTATTAAGTCCGGCATGACCAACTCTAAGTCGAGATATGACTACCTCTTCTTTCCTCCTTCCATTCATACAACTATTACCCCCCCACAGTCTTTTTAATTTTATGTAGATCTCTACCAATGTCATAATTATCACATTGTTCCTGCCAAACCTTACAGATTTTATTTTGAATTATAGATTTATAGATTATAGATTCACTTTTAATAAAAGGAGTACTTATATTCTTAATATCTGATTTTAAGGCCTGTTTAGCTAATATATCTACTTCCTAATTTTACTTAAATGCCTACATGAGCAGGAATCCAGACAAATCAAATAAAACATTTCTTATTACCAAGCTGAACTGATAAGTGATATATATCTAATAATAAATCTAATCTGCAAGACTTGCCAGATTTGATACTTAATAATGTATCTTGACTATCTGATGGAATTATATAACTATTTTCTTCCCTAACATTATCATCAAGCAACTGTTCTAAAGCTAACATAATGGCAATTAATTCAACTGTAAAAACTGCTGTAGTAAAACCGTCATGGCTTTGTGATGATTTATTTATCAAATAAGTAATAAGAATTATTAAGGCATTTTTTAAATCAATAGTTATGTCTTAAGTAAGGTAGACAATTATTTTAATACTAATTCTTTTCAATTAATTGGGTCTAAAAGTTAAAGCTAACTGAAATAATTGGTTGAGAGTATTGATTTGAGGCAATGTCCCCCATCAGTAGTCATAGTCTAAACAATATGCAAAAAAGGGGAAAAACAACATATATATAAATGTATTAGTATAAACTCAATGCCGCATTAAATATATACATTTTTATAGTGAAAGTAACAAAAAGAAGCACAATTTCCAGTTGAATATTGATAAATGGAGTGTTTGAGAAGGGGTATGAACAAATAAAGCACTCATTCAAGGCCCTTTTCTCTTTAATTCAATTCAATTTTAAAATAATTTATTAATTCTAAAAGACAATAAAACATTGCAGTAACTACGTTATTTTTAAACAGGTGTTGCATGTGTTGATAGCTGTGAAAAGGAAGGATCTTCTGTATTAGTCTTGCACCGGATCTGGAGAACCTCTGACTGAAGACAATCTGCTGTTTATTTAATCTTCTAAATGTGATGCTCACTGTTTTCCATAATATTCTTCCCTTTATAAAGTATTCTTCTTTGTGGTATAATCTCCAGAGGTTCTAGAGGAGTTCCTAGAACAGACACACACTTTTTTTATAAGCTTGTTGAGCTTTTTAAGTCATTAGCTAAGCTCCAATCAAGTTACTCCATCAGGTGATGGAGGAAGAGATCACACTCTATACAATAGACTTACATTCTTGTACTTAAGAGTGTCTGGAGTTGCCACTGTGTCTTCGTTAAGCTGGATCCTGTTCGCTTCTAAATGTCCACAAAATCCCTCTTGAATATAATGCTTTGATTGTTTTTTGGCCGAACTCGTTTAACATGGATGTCCTCAATGTTGCATCCACAGAACAGTGCAGGAACTTCTGATCCGAAGTAAATTCAGCAAAATAGGCTGCAGGCTTATAGCTGCATCCGTGCTGAACTACTGAGGCATCAGTCTGCTCATCAAATTATGCCTTAGACTTAGACAGAGTTTATTTTGTCATTTTGTACACAAGTGTAAACAAAAAGAAAATGTTGTTTATTTAATGTCCTACAAAATGTAATCAAATGTTTTTTTTATTTAAGTTTAGTCATAAATATCAGATAAAAAGCCTAATTTAAATATATTTTTCAGTGAAAACTTACATATCTCTTTAACTAAACCATATAAAAAACAGATTTTTTAAAAAAAGGAATATATCTCCTAATTTCTACAACTTTATTTCCAAACAGATCCATATCAGCAGGAAAGAAAGTTTCCTTCTTTGCGTGTGCATCTGTTGCTTGGCTGCAAACAAACACTTGGGCATAAATACATGCTTTTCCATTTGGGACTTGTGAAGTGAACATTTCCATGTAAGGATTTACAGTATGCTCTGCAATTTGGTAAACATTTCCATCCAGCGAGTTGCAGCACAATGAATTCACTCAAAGTAGGTTTGGGCTTTGCTGGTTTGCCATGCAAAAACTTGCTGTGACATCTAGTTAGTCATAAACTGAGAGCTTCCAGCTGTTTGTGAGTCTTAATCGTGTCTGCCACTAATCAAATAATATGCATAACTTTAATTCTGCCTGCACCACCAAAATGTAATTGTGAACTTACAGTATTCTTCATCAAGATGTTAAAGTGTGAGCACATTAGTGTTTGTAGGAAAACACTTGCTTCCTATGGTGTGAAATTTAGCTCCTTTTAGCAGCATAACAATAGCATAGTTTCCATCCATCCATCCATTTTCCATCACGCTCATCCCAGCTGGGGTTGCCAGGGGTGCTTGTGCCTTTGCAAAGTTTTGTAAGGATATAAAAAAACTTTCTTTTTGTCTCTTTGAATGCCTGCTAAGAAGTTAATGTAAAAGTAAGTAAAGTATAACTGGCCGTAAGAAAGATGCAATATGTTTCAGTCAAATGTTTTTACCCTATATCAAAGCATTTATTAGATTCAAATTATGTGGATGTGTTATAAACGTCCTGAATAAGTCCTCATTTAGAAATACCTTATTTGTGGTGTGGTTCCATGGCGCAGTGGTTAGTGCGCACTTTACATGTAGAGAGGCCTTAGTCCTGAATGTGACGGAGCCGGGTTTGAGTCTGACCTGTGGTCCTTTGCCTTTCCTGTCAGCCTACTTTGCAATAACAAGCCACAAGTGCCGCAAAAACCTAAAAGAAATACCTTATTCTTGAAAACACAGTATTTTTTAACCATGTCTATAGATGTGTTAAAAGACTACCAGCATATTAATCTTTATAAAGCTTATAGTGGGTCAGATTATCCTGAGCTATCTCTATAGTTATGCTGCTATAGGCTTAGACTGATGGAGGACATAGGAACCACTTTTCCTCACTTGGCTTTATTCTACTTCTGTTCTCCAACCTTCACAAAGAAGGAAGAATAGAACATTTAAAGCTATAGTTGGTAATCCTGTTATATTGAGTGAAATTGTCATGTATTTACAAAAGGGAACAAAAACAATCGAACATCCATGAGAGCTGGAAGCCTCTAAAAACTCTCACCAATCCCTGCCATTCGGTCTGAATACAAAAAAACAAGAGTCAGATGGCTTCATAGGCATCCCGTCTTTCTCTGCCCTGCACTAAAGGATGTTATGATCAAAAAGTGGAGGGAGTTATGCAAAATATTTCTAACATGATAGAAAGAGACATTCAAGCAATAAGCATGGTAGGTTTTTTGATGTTAATACACTTCAAGTAGCCAAGTTTTAGAATTCCTCTAATAGCAACCATAACCACCCGTTTAAAGGTGCTGCTTGCAGACCAAAGTCTCTCCCTGCAGCTTGTTGGATTACACCACAAACAGATCTATATAACTGTAAGTGTCCACTTCATGGAAGCATGTAACAATTAGTCTCACAGAATGTCAGAGTGAAGCACTCTGTCTTATAAAGATAGTTTAACATCTTTGTAAATCAGAAATCAGGATTTCTGATTTAGTAGGATTTTCTTTTTCTTTTAGGGAAGACTTTCCAGGCTCTTATCATTACAAGGCCCTGTTTTTAAATGAATAAACTGTTAAATGACCACTAGACTTTTGCTTAATGCACCCAATCCTATAAACAGCACCAAAAAAACTCAATAGCAAAAAAAAAGTGGAGTGAAATTTGAAGAAACGATTGGTGAGTTTTTTATTTCACATATCTTTGCTACTGACTGCCACAAAAAATAAATTCCTTATAAATATGGAATTTATTGGGGGAAAAAACAGCCTTTCCAAGAGCATTGCCAGAAGGATTTTAGCAGAAGTGGGGACTCTAGTCACATTATTTGGACTCAAGTCAGACCCTAATCATTAATTGTATTACTGTAGACTTGACTTCAAAAAAATTTCAGAGACTTGCGTCTTTACTCTGAGTTTTACATAACTGACACAGGATCTGAATTGGACTTGAACCTGCTGATTGGAAAAGAATTATAATTATCCAAAATTAAAAGTTAGAACACATATTATTTAAAAGAAGTGTGCAACATTAATGCATGGTACTCATCCTGTATTATCAAACCCAAACCATCTCTCTGTCTTTCCACTTTGCACAGACGTGTGTTTGAACTGCAGCACAGCCAGACAAATTAATTAGTTAATAAATGCTCCCAAAATGAGGAAAAGTGGTCACTATGTCCTCCAGCAGCCTATGCCTATAGCAGCA